AACTGGGATTTTCAATTTTTCAAAACCGACTCAATAAGGAAGTTTCGGTCTTTTTAATGCTTCTTCAACATTCCCGGAGTTCTTCAATTTCACGGAGCTGCAGACGAAAATTTCTCCAGATTTTTTGAAAAATTGCAACCCTAAATAGTCTCGAGTCTTTTCCTGAAAACTCGCTCAATTTTGCTGCGATTTTCAATTTTCCAAAACCGACTGAATCAGAACGTTTCGGTCTTTTCGATTCTTCTTCAACATTCCCAGAGTTCCTCAATCTAACGGAGTTGGAGACAAAAATGAATCCAGATTTTTCAACAATTTGAAACCCAAAATAGTCTCGAGTCTTTTACTGAAACCTCGCTCAATTTAACTGGGATTTTCAATTTTTCAAAACCGACTCAATAAGGACATTTCGGTCTTTTTAATGCTTCTTCAACATTCCCGGAGTTCCTCAATTTCACGGAGCTGCAGACGAAAATTTTTCCAGATTTTTTGAAAAATTGCAACCCTAAACAGTCTACAGTCTTTTACTCAAAACTCGTTCAATTTAACTGCGATTTTCAATTTTCCAAAACCGACTGAATAAGAACGTTTCGGTCTTTTCAATGCTTTTTCAACATTCCCAGAGTTCCTCAATGTAACGGAGTTGGAGATAAAAATGAATCCAGATTTTTCAACAATTTGCAACCCAAAATAGCCTCGAGTCTTTTCCTGAAAACTTGCTCAATTTAACTGGGATTTTCAATTTTTTAAAACCGACTCAAGAAGGACGTTTCGGCCTTTTTAATGCTTTTATAACATTCCCGGAGTTCCTTAATTTCACGGAGCTGCAGTCGAAAATTTCTTCAGATTTTTTGAAAAATTGCAACCCTAAACAGTCTACAGTCTTTTACTCAAAACTCGTTCAATTTAACTGCGATTTTCAATTTTCTAAAACCGACTGAATCAGAACGTTTCGGTCTTTTCGATTCTTCTTCAACATTCCCAGAGTTCCTCAATCTAACGGAGTTGGAGACAAAAATGAATCCAGATTTTTCAACAATTTGAAACCCAAAATAGTCTCGAGTCTTTTACTGAAACCTCGCTCAATTTATCTGGGATTTTCAATTTTTCAAAACCGACTGAATCAGAACGTTTCGGTCTTTTCGATTCTTCTTCAACATTCCCAGAGTTCCTCAATCTAACGGAGTTGGAGACAAAAATAAATCCAGATTTTTCAACAATTTGAAACCCAAAATAGTCTCGAGTCTTTTACTGAAACCTCGCTCAATTTAACTGGGATTTTCAATTTTTCAAAACCGACTGAATAAGAACGTTTCGGTCTTTTCGATTCTTCTTCAACATTCCCAGAGTTCCTCAATTTCACGGAGCTGCAGTCGAAAGTTTCTCCAGATTTTTTGAAAAATTGCAACCCAAAACAGTACAGTCTTTTACTCAAAACTCGTCTAATTTAACTGCGATTTTCAATTTTCCAAAACAGACTGAATAA